GTAGCAGCTTACACAGCAGCTTGTAGTAGCAGCTTACACATCAGCTTGTAGTAGCAGCTTACACTGCAGCTTGTAGTAGCAGCTTACACAGCAGCTTGTAGTAGCAGCTTACAGAGCAGCTTCCTTTCTTCTATAAATAGAAGAAATTTCAGTTCATTATGTACATCAGTTTGAATTCGAATAATATATCAGTTTCTCTCTATACTTGTCTTTACTTTATAGTCTTTATTTCATAACAAATTTGCACTTCTGATCGTTGTTGCTGCGAATCTTCAAAAAATCAAATGAATTATTAAATCATTTAGTTAACATGTGTTATGTTAAATTTGTATTGTTTCTATATATATGAATTATGATATTATAATTCTTTAAGTATGGAGTAATATTTTTCCTACACAAGGGAACCGCCAAACCCACATACCTGTTCAATTTGACATTGAATGTGCTTATTATATCACAATGACCAAAATCAAAATTTGCTACTCCATTAACTCCGGGACTGTTTATCCGTAAAACAATACAGCTGGATTTATAGACAAGTGAATTAATTTGATCCTAAAATAATAGATGAATTAGACAAAAATGTAAAATTTAGCTTCCAAATTGAAATGTAATGGCAGAAATCTTAATCTCGGGCACAGAACTATCGGGAGCAGTAAGAACAGTATAAATAAACAAAAAAGTAAACTGTTATTAAGGTTTTGATAGAATATAGCGTATGCTTGTCAGAAAATTCGTCCTTACAATGATGGTAGAACTCACTATTTATAGCTACACCTAGGGAACAATGTCATAGGATCAATCCCCTCTTAAATGATAATTATGAGGGCCATTGAAGAATGTGTAACAGTGGGCAATAACTGTCATATTCTCCGTCACTGATCATGCACTTAATGCTATTGGATATTTTTCATTGAATGCTATCGGATGTCATGCGTTTATTTTGCCTATATGAACGCTATTCTCTTTGAGGACAAGCGAGATCATTACCTTCAGATTTGATTGTCTTCTGTCTTCGGCTCCACGTATCTTTCTCATGTGATCATAAAATATGAACATATTTTGCCTCATACAGGGACCAAACCGAAATTAGGTCTTTAGGATAAATACATAGCATAATAATTATTTTACATGAGTGTCTAACAATAATAAAAAACTACGTTTGCTGACGTGAAAAGCCGCCTTGGCATTTTAGCTGGCTTTTAGTGAGAGTTAATGGATTTTCTAACTAGATTTATTTTCTCAGTAACTAGCCATATAAAGTTGAGTGATTTTAAAGCGACAAAGGTTATTTTAGTGACTTTTATAATATTAAAAAAATCATAACTAGAATAACTACTTGAAAAAATAATTTATTCAATTTTTTAGGGATATTGGCCAGTAAGTGAATCTAAAAGAGAAGAGAAAAGACGACTAAAGAACAAGCACCAAGTTAGTTTAGACGTAACATAAGCACACAACCTTAAGAAGCATAAAAGTAAATAACCAAACAGGTGAGCACTATCTTTTTGTGCAGATAAAACATTGAACGCATTTTTCAGTAAAGATTCTATAACTTTTATACTGAATTCCCAAAAGAAACTACGGAAGCTAAGAATTGGCATTTAGTTTTCTAGCATTTCTGAAGAAGTTTTCACATGAAATACCTGCAAGATAACTTCTTTACAGAAGAAATTCAAAAGATCGAAGACAAATCTTTGAGAGCTGGAACCCGAGCCAAACTTTCAGTATACTGAAAGGCACAAACATGATTAAAGCGTAAAGTATCACCTATTTCACCAGGCAACTCACGGACTACTTTAGCAGTTTTAAGCACTAAGTTGTAGGCGATCACCTTCCCACTGAATCTTCTTCTTTCTCTTCTCGAATCACAGACAAAATGGAAAATGCATATTGTGTGCCATATGATGTCTGATTAACTATCGCAGGAAATGCTGAAATTAACCGAGCAAGATGAACACGATACTTTACTGACCACTTCCAGGTATTTTTGTCTAATTCAAGCACATTGAATTTCTTGGCATATAGGCTCTGAACCTGAATAAGATGCAAATGGCCACCCCATTCCCCAAAATACCTAATCTTTTCTCTACATTGTCCCTGAGGCCTTGGTGGCATATCTTTCCTTACGACTTCCTCTGAATTAGCATCAAAGTAAATGGAGGAGTTTTCACCAATCCAATGAATTGCACCATTCCAAAACACTCCACTCTCAAATCGCATATCATAGGGTGGAGAGAAACGACAACAAGATCTCCATGACTCACTCCCTGGCACATACACACTCACTTCAACATCCAACCAATAGGAACCCAAACACTTAATACACAAAGCTTTGTAATAAGGTGGTTCTGAAGGATCAAATATCAGATTATAATAGACATTACTATAATACTTGTCATAGGGGCTCGGCAATGGACACCACTCTTTATTTGCAGGATTGTAAACAATACCAAGTTTGATATTTCCTGCTTCAGTTTTTATCACGCACATTAAAAGGCCATTGCAAGATTGCATAACCTTAACTTGCATAACCTCAATTGCATCTCCTTTTTTTAAAGCAATTGGGTCAAGGAGCGGAAGAGGAGGGAGGCTAGTTACATTATCAGAAAGAGGAAGGGATTCAACTTTTTGGAGATTGGTTAGGCAATTGTAAGAGTAGATCCCAGACGGGGTTAGAGTATTAGAAAATGCAAGAGTACGACTATGACTGAGCCTAAATTGCATACTGGTAATGATTGAGAACCAAAGTTTGCATACTGGACTGAACCTGATGAGAGATCTTGCAGGCAAATGGAGTAGAATTTCAGATAAAAGATCAGCATTTCCAGCGATGATATCCACCGTTACAATAACAGCAAGTCTTTTATCTGTGTGGCTCTCCGCCATTATCAGTCCAGGAATAAAACAATGAATCAGTTTTCAAACTCAAACAGACCTGATAGATACAAGTATGACAAAAAATTAGCAAACAAGATAAGTTATTCTAGACTGAATAAGACTTTAATTTAAAATTTACTTGCAACCTAAGGTTGTAGCTCAAACGATCATCACCTATAATATCAATAAGCAGGACGAACCTGAACAAGCCAAATGCTAAAAATGACATTACTACTAGGCTAATATGAAACTTTGCAGCACTTGATTGTGAGAGTTTTTT